CTTCTAGCAAATTAAACTGTGTTTGCCAAGGTTCTCTCATTCTTGCTTCTTTTGGATGAGTGGATTGTTTCCTTTTTAAATAAACTAGGTTTGGTGGATGGAAGATTTCTTGAGGTCTTTTTAAATATGAGCTCAACACCAGGTTCTTGGCAATCATTGCCTATTCTTATTTTCAGAAAGCTTTCCAAATTGTGCATCGTGATTCTTTGCCTCTCCTCCCATTGCATGCGGAGAATGATCAGAGATCAGGAAGTGACTAAGAGAGCCTGTCTTTCTTCTACCTGGGCAGAATCACTTCTTGTACCACAGACAAAAACTTTCTCTTACCTGCTTTTGAGGCTCCAAGACAGCAGTACTGCCCCTCCACTCAAGCCATTTCTGTGCTGATTGTAACAAGTGATCCTGAGGTGATGACCAGGGGTAAGGGAAGGCTGAGGGAGGGCCAGGGCACAGTTAATGTCTTGGCACTAATTATCCAAGCACTCATCTCTGAGATGCTGGGATGCCTCACAGAATTATTAATGTCCGGGTCACTAGCTCTCATCAAAATGCCTGCCACAGAGTAAGTACTGAAGAGGAAGAAGAGGAGGTGGGAAGAGAGAAGGAAGAAAACTGATCAAACACAAGGTGGGATGGAGACATTGGCAATTAGCTACAACTGAATAAGAACAGGCAGAGGGAGCACAGGAGTATTAACTCACCCAAGTCTGCCTTGGTACAGCCGCAGGATCTCCCAAACCATCCTGTAAGAAGTGATGTATGAAATTCCTCATGAGAAACCAAGAGAGTAGGCTTTGACTCAAGAGAAATGCCAAGTGCTTCTTAAGTCTTTAAGAAAAGGAGTTCTCTTTCATTTCTGAGTTTCTAGACTCTGTTTTATTACCCCTCTCCCACTGATTCTGAGAAGCTTTGCACCTCTATGCTCCCGTGTCTTCTGTTCTTGATGAGTCCTTTTTCCTAGGTTTTGGGACCCATCTTCATAACAGTACAGGCAAAGCATAAGCTTTATGACTGTGGCTTTGTTAAAAAGCCACGTGCAAACATCACACAAAGCCAAAATCCTTGTTTCTAGGTTGTATTAATACACCTTGCCTTAAGTTTGGCTACACAGTTAGGCAGTGCTCTATAAGGCACAAGATTTGTTTACCATCCGATTGGAATGTTCTTGGTATTACTGAAAATGAACAGGATCAGACAAACCTAGAGAAACATGACATTCACATCACAGTTGTGAGAGCTGCACAGAAGAATTGGTGTGAACTCAACAGTAAGTATTCCCGAAACTGAACCTGTAGCAGGTACGCTGCTTGGCACCTCTTTTAACAAACGAAATGACTGCAACCTCTGCTTGTTTTAGGACTGCATTTTTGTGGACGGAAAAGAAAGGAGATATATTAAGTGAGTGGGTGGAGATAAAAGCTGGTAATGTATGATGAGAAGAGATGTCTCCTTCTGATCACTGAGAATTCAAGTGGAGAAGAGAACACAGGAGAAAGAGAACACACCTGTGCTCTAGGTGCCACCTTTTCTTTCTTCTCTCAACTCACTGTTGCAAATCTCACCATAGAACAGCTCTCATCCCTCTTCTTGGTGTGTAAGTTGTAAATCTGAGTAATGCCTTTAAGAAAGAAAGGTTTCTTAAATATGAAATATTTCCACAATTCCAAAAGTGTCCCCAGAGGAACAGCTCCCACACAATCAGGTACTACTTAAATAACACCCACCTAATTGGACGTTAGCATCCTGAATCCTCAGCCACTAAGCCACCCATCAGGGCATCCCCCTAAAATACATGGTACTGGATCCAGAAGAAAGATCTGAGAGCAGCCCATTGCCCACCGACAGACCACAAACTGCTGACAAAGTCAGGTAAATACATCGCAGGGGTGACAAGGGAATGTGTATGCTCATGACCTGATAGTCTCCCTGTGTCCACTCAAGACTTCAGTCTGCACTAGACCTGCCGAATTTGTCCCTAGGCAGGGAACTTACTAATAGCACTATGCATTCCATTCTCGGGAAACCAGGTTTCTCCACAGAGCCTGTACCCCAAGACCTCTGAGGAAGGCAGTCCCAGTCTTAGGGCAGCATCTGCTGGCTAACTCATGGATGGACAAAAGTGGCTGCTTGTGGACAATAGGAGCAGTCCTTGTCAAGGAAGGAAACTGTTGCCGTGGTGACTCTGTGCGTCTGTCCTTCTTTTATGATGACCCCCTCAGACCTTCAGAAGCCCAGCAAGTCTAGAACTGTCCCTGATGAGGTCCTGGGGGCATGTGCGTCTATGGACCTTGGCTGGAGCCAAGGGTATGCCAGATTGGCTTTGCAAGCATATCTTCAGAGGTATGCGTAAACCGCGCCTTGGACTTCCGGCCAATATTCATAATCCAGTACCAATGGCGACCCCATGGAGCAGAGGTTCAAAGGCAGAATCAGGAAGTAAAGCTAAAAAGCCCCTGTCTATGGCAGGAGGGGGAGGGGATCAGGATCTTGAAGCAGCCGCTGAATGCTAATGCCGAGCTTCTTAGGCATCCTTTCACTTCCGGCTCGGGTACATCAGGAAGCAGGAACGACAGACAGTCTCACCGGGCAAGTGTGCACCTGTGCCTGGAATAAAGAAACTGGAAGCTGGGGGGCCTGGCGGGACTGGAGCTCAAAGCTCCCCACCTTCAGCCTCAACAGGGCAGTCAACAGCGCCGCACCAGGGCCCGTGGTGCCTCCGTGGCCTCCCGCCTCCACAGGAGGAGGCGTGTGGGGACTCCCAGCCTCACCCACCTCATCCGGCCTGGCTCCGCCCGC